CGCTCCCTGCTCCTGCTCCCGGGGGCTGCCCGGCACCAGTGGAAGCACGCCATCCACCGCAGGGACATTGAGGCCCGTCGCGTCTGCGTCACCTTCCGGGAGCTGTCGGCCGAGTTCTGTCCCGGAGGTAGCCAGCAGGAGCTGGGGCACAAACTCCTGCAGATCGCACTCTCCTTTCAGGGACGGCCTGTGTGAGCTGCCTCCCGGGGATGGCTGGCCCTGGGCCTGCCTGGCTGGAGGCCCTGCTTCAGAGCTGTCTGCCAGGACTGAAGTGGGCAGCCCAGCACAAGGGTCTTTTTTCCCAGCTCATCAGGATCTAAGAGAAGACACCTGACCCAGATGCCACGGGCAGTGTGAGCCCTGCCTGGAGCTGGTTTTGATGGGAATGAGCCTCAGGTCAGTCCCTTCCACCTGCACTGTGGCCACTGTTTTGGTTCTTTGATTTTTCCATCTGGGGAGAGGGGATAATGTGAGCCTACAAAATGTTGGCGCCATTTGAAACAATTGCCTCCCTTTACCATCCCTCTCAATGAGGGTTCCCGGCACCCGACCATCCAGTCCCTCCAGCGGGGAGTGAGCTGAGCTGGAGAACAGTTGGTGGACGATTTGAAGTTCAAACCTCAGAGAGGGTGATAGCTTCTGAGACAAGCTCAACCTGAGTCATGCTGGACGCCCTCAGGGAGGGGCTTGTGCTGAGGGCTGGGAAATCTGAGAGCCTGGACCCTCTCCACCCCCATCATGTGATTAAAAAGTAGGAAAAGAAATGGCTTTCACCTCCCAGACACTGCGACATCATTCACTTTGTGGCACTAGTGCTGTGTGGGGGCTCACCTGGATGGGGGGCTGCCCCTATAACTGTGGCCAGGTCAAGAGCAGGCCATGGATGTCGAGGGTGGCAGTGCCTGGACCCACAGCTGACGAGACAAAGTACACTTGGCTCCTCACCATTGTGGGGAGCCCAGCTTGGGGCACAGACCTCGTCCCAGCTGGGAAAGGAGCCTGTGAGCACTAGCCTTTTTTTTTTTTTTTTTCTCCTGGTTTGCTATAGGGCATGTGTGCTCACCAGACAGAAAGTGAGAAATCAGCCCCCTCTCCATTCTCTCAGGAGATTGGGCACACATGCCTGGTGTGATTTTAAGCCACTGGCTCCAGGATTTGAACCATGAAGTCGGCCATGTGGGATCCAGTGCCTTAACCTCCACTTCATCTGTTGGCCCAGCACTGCTTCTTATGGTCACTTGTAACTGCTGGTAGGACAGCTGCTAGCAGCCTGGTACTGCTGCCAAGCACGCCTAGTGCCAAGCAGCACACAGGCTGGCCTGCTCTAGGGGCCTCTGCCGACCCTCTGCCCTGACAAGCGAGGCCTGAGAGAAGCCTGGCCCCTGGGTGGAGCCTGTGAAGTGCTCTGCCAACCAAAGATTAAACTGGAAACACTATCTCCCCAGACTCTCAGGGAGAGGCATGCTAAGGCTGGGGCAGAAAAGAAACCCCTCTCCCCAGCATCACTCGGGGCTTGCCCACATTTGACATCTGGCCTTTCCAGTGGTCTCAGAGTGTGACGGTCAGGGTGGTGACCTCAGAGTTGAGTTGACCTTGAAGCTCGGTGACAATGAAAACCATCAGGCTCCCATAGCCATGCCTCCTTCGAGGAGAGGCGGGGCTGGAGTGCCCACAGGGTGCTTCCTCTATGCCCCGCTCTGGGCACACTGCCCTGCTTCTGAAGGGCTGGCCCCCGGCAGCCACATCCGTGAGGTCATGATGTCCTCCTACCCCATGTCTTGGGTGGCTGGTCATGCCCTCCTTCAGCACCAGTGTCCTGCACACTGGCGTGTGCCGATGCCTGCAGCCCCACGAGGAGCAGGCAGGTGCCATGGAAGTGCGCTCCCTGGAAGACGGCAGCTTCCTGGAAGTCAGGGGGCAGTGCGGCTGATGTTCCACAGCCTCAGCTCTGGGAAGGCGTTTAAGACACCTGGTGCTGCTCGCTTGCTCAGGGTGGTGGGGCCCAGGCTCGTCCTAACTCAGGAGCGGGCGGGAGGCTGAGCTCAGTCCAGGAGTGTCCTCGGGTTATTCCTGCTTACACATGCGTTGAACCTGCCTTCGCCGTGTCCCACAGTAATCCAGCAAACTGCGGGCAGGCAGCACACAGGCTGGGAAGAGTGTGGCGGGTTCTAAACGGGCCTGGCAAGGAGTCTTTGGGCTCAGTCATGCCCTGGCCTTGCCATGCAGAGCCCCGCCCAGGACGCTGTGGACTCACCCTCAGCCTTCCAGGCGCATCTGAGTCAAGACAGAGCCTTCTCAATGGTCTGCTGGGTGTCACAAGGGTCCTGCTATGGGGCTGACAGCAGCTTGTCACGCCCTGCCCTTGAGGTGGTGAGGAAGGCTGCCACTTTCTTTTTCTGTTGTCTCTAACAAAACAGCAGCCTTCACTTTAAGTGCTATCTTACTCAAGGCTGGAAAATTGGGCTTGCTGGCCCAGGGCCTGTCCTGAGCCCGGGCCTTGGGCCACTCCACTGGGCTTCAGTTGGCAGTCTGACCCCTCTGGGTCAGCAGAACACTGGACTGCCCCAGACTCTGTCCACAGTGGCACCAGCCACTCTGCACCCCTGAGTCTCTAGGTTGAAATGCCAGGAAGCAAAACCTGATAAAAGACAGAATTCTCTCCTAGACATGGGCCTCCACCCCAGTGGGTGACTGTCTGGGTGCTTCCTCATCAGTGCCACCATGCCACCAGGCCAGGGGTAGGATCTACATGTTCTGGCTAGACACCTGGGCAGTGGTCCCAGCGCCTTAGACAGGCTGGAGAATGTCCTAGGGGCTGGAGCTTTGGTGGCTCCTGGAGGGACCATCAAGATGACCCCTTACCAATGGCCCTACTGGCACTCAGCCACCCACAAGGGCTTCTCCTTTCTCTAACTGGAAAATGAGCCTTGCTCAGGATGGGAAGGCAGAGACGCACTGCCAAGGAGTGCTACTGTCTGGGGGTCGTGACTGGCAGGAGCCTCACAGCAGGTCTGGGTCAGTGCACCCGCTGTGGACTCACCCTCAGCCTTCCAGGCGCATCTGAGTCAAGACAGAGCCTTCTCAATGGTCTGCTGGGTGTCACAAGGGTCCTGCTATGGGGCTGACAGCAGCTTGTCACGCCCTGCCCTTGAGGTGGTGAGGAAGGCTGCCACTTTCTTTTTCTGTTGTCTCTAACAAAACAGCAGCCTTCACTTTAAGTGCTATCTTACTCAAGGCTGGAAAATTGGGCTTGCTGGCCCAGGGCCTGTCCTGAGCCCGGGCCTTGGGCCACTCCACTGGGCTTCAGTTGGCAGTCTGACCCCTCTGGGTCAGCAGAACACTGGACTGCCCCAGACTCTGTCCACAGTGGCACCAGCCACTCTGCACCCCTGAGTCTCTAGGTTGAAATGCCAGGAAGCAAAACCTGATAAAAGACAGAATTCTCTCCTAGACATGGGCCTCCACCCCAGTGGGTGACTGTCTGGGTGCTTCCTCATCAGTGCCACCATGCCACCAGGCCAGGGGTAGGATCTACATGTTCTGGCTAGACACCTGGGCAGTGGTCCCAGCGCCTTAGACAGGCTGGAGAATGTCCTAGGGGCTGGAGCTTTGGTGGCTCCTGGAGGGACCATCAAGATGACCCCTTACCAATGGCCCTACTGGCACTCAGCCACCCACAAGGGCTTCTCCTTTCTCTAACTGGAAAATGAGCCTTGCTCAGGATGGGAAGGCAGAGACGCACTGCCAAGGAGTGCTACTGTCTGGGGGTCGTGACTGGCAGGAGCCTCACAGCAGGTCTGGGTCAGTGCACCTGCCTCTCCCCCTCACTGAGGTAGCCTGTTAGGACCTGAGAAAGAAACAGGTGAAGCTCCAAAAGGGCTCACAGGCCAGGAGGAGGGTCAAGTCAGCCATATAAGCAGACCCCAGGGCAGGAGCAGGGTCCTGCCCACAGTGTCCTCCTGAGAGCAGAAAGCTTTGAATTGCTTGACTGTTTTATTCAGTTCAATCCAGGGTAACTGTTTTAAAAATCCATAGGCAGGCTAGTACGCCATACACAATCTACATAATGTCATGCATAAATAATCAGCGCAAGGCAGGCACGGCTGCAGGTGGACCTGGGCCCATGCAGGCTCATATGGCTTATCCTCAACAGACCTTCCTAGAAGATGCTGGAACGCATTCTGCCCTCACAGTTTCTAAAACAGAAACACACACATCTCGAAATACGCTCTGGTACTAAACGGAAATTGCATTCTACTTGGGGAAAGCCCAGCATCTGTTCTGAGCACCAAGCACTGGGAAGATTCCGCTCTGACGGAATCAGGGTGGCCGTGGCACCTTCCCACAGCACTGGCCACTGTTCTTAGAATTCTTCAAAATCAGGTTAACCTCCAGAGACCAGATGTCTAGCCTGCAAATTTTCCATCCCCAATCCTGCGCTTCCGAGTTGTACTACGGCCCCAGATGGCAGCTTGTCCTCCATCTCCCCAACAAGCTCTAGGGTGACCCCAAGATCTCCCCTCTTGGCCACCATTCCCCACACCTGTGGTCACCTCTGTTCCCAAAGTCTGTCTGCCTTATGCCTCAGAACTAGAAAGGCTGGGGCGGGGGACAGCACTCTGGATAAAAAGAACAAGAAAACACAAGACTGCTCTCATCGGAGTTGGGGCAAGGGGTGTGACATCTTCCCTATCCATGGCACCGTTGGTGGACGCCTAATGTCTGACTCTGCTGCAGCCAGGCCAGGCTACAGGCTGTCTGGACCAGATGTAACACTAGTCCTGGGGTGGGCTTTCCACAGCGGGAAGCTTGGTGCTCCAGGGCTGGGGCACCAGGTGGCCCAGGAGTGTGGGCAGCAGGGCTATGTCCAACAGGGCCCTTCTCAAAAGGCCTGCTGGCTCCCTCCCAGGCATGGGGAGATGCTCATCCATAAGGGCCAGCCTGTCTCGCCCCTGCCAGGACAAGTAGCTGTCTTGCAGTGACACTGACATTCTTCAGCAAAGCAAGCACATATTAGACCAGACGAGACTTTTCAACAAGGCTCCAGAGATGTACAGACATGCGCTAGAGGGCAGACAGAGACATCTGCAAAGGAAGGAAAGGACAGAAGACAGGGTTCTACACCCCGTGGAACATGATGTCCAGGCTCCGCATAGAAGTTATGATTTACGGTGGGGGTTCACAGCATTTCAGAGTTGTGCGTTAAGGTTTACATGCCCCATAGCACATCGCACTCCCAGAAACCCCAATAGGGTCTTCCAAGATGCCAGGGTATGGACGGCTCAGACCCCACCAAGATAGCAAGCTGTTACAAGAGTGTAATCAGGACAGGAAGTCCAGACTAGGAAGATGAAAGCAAGGAACCCCTCTCCAGGCTGCTGCTTGCAAATGGGGTACACAGGGTTTCTAAAAGCTCGGGGTATGGCATGCTCCCACATAAACTGTTGCTGTAGCACATATGTGTACAGCCCCAAAACATGGGCTCAGGTCTACCAGATGCCCTCAGAGAAAATGCCAAACTGCACAACTGTGTAAACGTGAGCTGGGACCTTGCCCAGCGAGAGGCCTGGAGGGCCCAGCAAGGACGCACTGGGGCAGGGGGTGTCTCACCTTCCCTGCAGTTGCTTGGTGTCACAAAGAGGAGGGCCTGCATTTGGCCAGGGCTTTTCCCTGACCCCCCTGTCCACAGACCAGTTCTTGGGCCTTATCTACACAGGAAGCCCCCATGCTCTCCCTTCACTGAGCCACGTGTAGCACGGAGCTGGGCAGCAGAGCGCCTGGGAGAATGCCCCTGACCTGCAGCTGACGCGGCTCAGAGGGTGGCTGACTCAGGCTCCTGGCCATTCTGTGGCCAGGAGGTGGAGACCCTGGGACTGTGAACCTTCCCCCAGTATGGTTGAGTCAATGTGGCCAGGGCTATCAACTGCCTGCCTGGGAAAGAGAATTCACTCTGGTACCCTCAATGAACTCGGCCTCTAGTGGGCATTTTGCATGATGCCTGCGACATGCCTCCTCGACTTGGCCAGGCCTCCTGACTTTGGAAACACCCCCAGGACTTGAGAGCTGACACCTGGCTGCAGCACCTGCCACACCTGTGGAGCTGATGTGCCCCACGCTCCTGCCTCCCCCTCTAAGCCAGGCGGCCCAACTCCCTTCAGGATAGAGGGAAGCACCAAGCCAAGCTGTAATCCTGCACCGTCAGTGGCCAGCGTCCCTGTCTAATCACCGCCAGACATACCAGCCAACAGCCCTGAAGCCCACCTTGAGTCTCCGGGGCAATCCCATCTCTGAACTCACGGCCCTACCCAGACTCTCCCTGCCCTCACCACCCTGCCTTCCAGGCCTCTGGGATCCCGATCCAAGCCTTTCCTGGGGCAGGGCAGATGGGCAGATGCCCCAGGAACCCCTTCAAGCTTACTCTAGACCCACGAAGTCCCCAGGGCCAAAGATCCAGACTTTCTTCACCCCAGAGCTCATAGCAGCAGAGTCTCTGGTTTAGCTCAAAAGTTCATTTTCCAAGGGAAAGTTACCGAGGTTGTTACAGCATTAAGACAGGAGTAAAACTTTGGTCTTCAACCGTCTGGCAGTGTCTAAGCAGCCTGGTGAGCGAGCCCCCGCCCTCTTCCCACCACAGGCCCCTCGCCGACCCAGGGGAGTGGCGCCCCAACCCTCACACCACCTGCAGGCTGCGCTCGTGCCCATCCAGCTGCACTTTGAGCTTATGCAGCTCCTCGATCTCACGGTTGTGGCGCTCAGTTTTGTGGCGCACCAGCGAGCGGTAGAAGTGGATGGTGAAGACCACGAAGATGAGGCCCACAGGCACCATGATGATGGTGGACACCAGGGCGGCCTGCCAGCCCGTGTGTCCACCGGGGCCGGGTGGGGGCCCGGGCTGGCGCCTGGCATCCACAGGCAGGAACTTGATCCAGCAGAGCAGCACCACCTCGGCCAGGAAGAGCAGGATGCCTAGCACGGTGGAGAAGCCCCAGGCCAGCTCGATATAGGGGTGCATGCGCTCGTGTGGCGACTCGCTGATGGAGTTGAGGTTGTGGATGTTGCTCACGGCTTCCACGTTGGGCAGGATGCACGTGCTGATGAGCAGAGCAAACAGGTGCACGGCTACCAGCACCGTGGTGCAGGCGCTGAAGGCGATGAGCAGCGGCCGTGGGTACTGGTACTGCGTCTCCAGCTGCACCTCCACCATGGCCACCTGCGGGACAGAGCAGGGCTGGGCTGGGGCAGGCAGGGCAGGCCATGGGCACCCGTGGACTAGCCTGCTGCTGAGATTCACCAAGTTCTGGGCCCTCGAATACCAGAGGGAACCCTTCTCTCTGGTTAAGTTATTTCACACTTTTTTTTTTCTGACTAGCTAAAGAAGATCTCACTAAGGAAAAACCTAAAAGGTACATAAGAGAGTAAAGGCACATGGGGGTGGGGGGTGTCCCACTGGGTACCTTCCCAGACACAGGAGCTAGGGAGCATCTGTGGTACCAAACTCCCCAGGGCAGAGGCCATGCTACCCTGGGAGCGGGTAGGGTAGCACATGGCTTTGCCATTGATTTTGTGTTGCTGTTACAAAACAAAGCTTTTTTTTTTGAACTAAAAATTTACTTCTGCAGCCGGCAGGTGGCATGGTGTTTAAAGTGGCTGGACTCCCACATGGCTGACCAGGGTTCCAGTCCCAGACCTGGCAGCTTGCTTTCTCACTTTCCTTCACTCTCTGTTTCTCTCTGGCCAATTTCAAAAACAATTTTATAAAAATGACAATAAATAAAATTAAATAATTCTTTAAAACAAACAAAACTCCTGACCTTTAAAAAGGCAAAAACTGGAGGCCAGCACACAGTGCAATGGTTATGTCACATGACTCCCACGTGGCCGACAGTGCCCACTTGACTGCAGTTCAAGTCTCAGACCCAGAGGCTGGAAACTCACACCAGGCACACGTGTATGCATGCCCAAAATCCTGAGGCAAGAAGGAAAAAGGGGGACTGCGGTGTGGTCACCTCCTGGGGGGTGATTTCTCACCTTTTCTCTGTCTCCTAGGCAAGTGCACATGCCTTATAGCAAAAATTGCTCTCTTAAAAAAAAGGTAAAAACTTGGGACCAGCAGATGGCCTAACAGTTATGTCGCTGGACTCCCACATAGTCAATCACGGTTCAAGTCCTGGCCTGGCGCTTAAAACTCAAGCCAGGCACATGTGCATATGTGCCCAAGATCCCAAGAGGAGACTGGAGAATGGATTGCAGGGTAGCCATCCTCCTTGGGCTTTCTGTCACTCTGTCTCTGTCTCCCCAGTGAACACACACACACCCTATAACAAAAATATCTCTCAAAAAAATAAAAAGTAAAAACTAAGGCTCCTGACGGTCCCTAGACTCAGCTGCAAATCTGGCCAGCATGTGCAGGGTGCAGGTCTCAGTTGACACCAAGCCGCATCTCTAAAGTCCAGGGATGGTGAGGGAACTGAGTTCAGGGAGGAGGGAAGCAATAAGAACAGAGCTGGGCCTGGACAGTGGGCAAGCCTGGACGATACCATGGTGGGTGCTGCCTGCAACAGGAACACGAAGCCTGACAATGCTGAGGGGTGGGGTCTCTGAAGCCACTGGGGTTAAATATAAGCCTTTAGCAGTACTTAATTTAAAACTATCTCCCAGGACCAGCAGGTGGTGTGGTGGTTAAGGCGCTGGACACTCCCACATGGCCGACCAGGGTTCGAGTCCTGAATCTGGTGGCTTGCTTTCCCACTTCCTTTCTCTCTCACTCTCACCCTCTGTCTCTCTCTGGTCAAATTAAGAAATAAATGAATGGGGAACCAGCAGTTAGTGTAATGGCTATGTCACTGGACTCCCACGTAGTTGATCGCAGTTCGCGTCCCAGACCCGGTGGCTTAAAACTCACGCCGGGCGCGTGTGTGTGCATGTCCAAGATCCTGAGAGGAGAATGGAGGAGAGGGGATTGCAGCGTGACCATCCCCCCTGGGGGGTGATTTCTCGCCTTCTGTCTCTAATGTTTCTCTCTGTCTGTCTGGCGAGAGCATGCGCCCTATAGCGCAAATCTCTCAAAAAAACAAACAAAAAAAACCTCTGTTGCTGAGTTTTGTTGTTGTTGTTTTCAAGGTTTTTAACATAGGGCCGGTGCACTCACTGGAGAGACAGAGAAACATAGAGAACAGAAAGCGAGAAATCACCCCCCAGGGGGGATGGCCACGCCGCAATCCCTTCTCCTCCATTCTCCTTTGGGATTTTGGGCTCGCACGCACACGTGCTCGGTGTGAGTTTAAGCCATGGGGTCTGGGACTTGAACTGCGGTTGGTTACATGGGAGTCCAGCGACATAGCCATTACATTAACTGCTGGTCCTAGGTTTTTGTTTTTTTTTGTTTTTTAATTTAATTTTATGTGCCCCAAATCCCAGAGGCGAATGGAGGAGAAGCGATTACAGCCTGGCCATCTCCCTGAGGGGTGATTACTTGCCGGTGAGCACATGTACCCCATAGCAAAAATCTCTCTTAAAAAAAAAAAAATCAAGCATGCACCTTTGATCCCAGTTACTTGAGAGGCAGAAACAAGAGGGTCACAACTTTGAAGCCAATCTGGGCAGCAGACCTGAGACCATGTCTCTAAAAACAAAAACAGAAAATTACTTTTGGGGCCAGATAGTGGTGCAGTGGTAAAACAATACAGTGTGTGAGGCTGACCCATGTGGGAAGGTCCTGAGTGTGTGTCCAGGGACCTCCCAAGTACACCAGGCACCCATGATCTAAAGCTGGGGACAGATGGCAGCATGAGACCTTGGGGGGGGGAGTGTGCTGCCTCTTTCTCAGTTTTAGAAAAATAAAAAATAACTTTAAAAAACGTTTTAAAATCTCCAAGAAAGGTGATTTTACTACTTCCTTTAGCAATTACTGGCTCTTAGAGTGAGAACCTCATCCCTGGCCCTCCAGTGGTGACGGAGACAGGAGGTGAAAGAAGATCTGGCGGTTCTGGTGGACCAGAGCTGAACAGCACCCCTGCAGGGAGCATGCTGGGGCCACTGTGAACAGTGACCGCGGGACAGAGGCTGCTGAGTGTTTTCTCAGGGCTCCTGTGGCCCTGGGTAGGCCTTTGTTACACAAAGGATATGGCCCAAGGAAGGGATACTGCAAACTGTAGAGGGCGCCACGACAGGAAACAAAGACGAATAAAAGGCTGGGGACAGGGCCTACAGAAAAGTGGGTCCTGTTCAGTCTCTCAAGGAGAAAGGTCAAAAGGCCATTTTTTACTGTGTTTATACAGAGATTTTTATGAACAGGTCTTGGATCACTGGGTTTCCGATGTTAGGGGAAGGATAAACACGAAGAAACAAGCTGAAGGCTAGGTAGAAGCACTTGTTGCTGGACGAAAGAACAGCTTTGCAATTCTAATGAGGGAACAGTAATAAAGGGTGACTCCTCCCCTTCACTCGTCCACAGGGCCTAGCCGATTCAGGGGTGGTTTCTGAGGATCTGCACTGTCACAGGGGCTTAGGGATGAACAATCCCAAAGTATGCCAAACCAGTATATTGATCATCTCAAGCGGCAATCACCAGAGGAACTATATCCGCAGAAAGGCCACTTGGGGCCAGCCCATGCCATGGTGGTTAGGTGGCTGGATCCCACATGGCAGATTACGTGGTTCTGGTTCCAGTCCCAGAGGTCATGACTTCAGAAACACCCTTTCAGAGAGGAGAGAGAGATGAGGAAGAGACTGCAGCATGACCAATCCTTGCGGAGAGAGTACTTTCTCACTCCTCCCACTCACTACCCCCTAGGCAAGGGCATATGCCCTCTGACAAAATAATAAATAAATAAATAAGCAGGCCATCTGACAGCTGCTTCCTATACGCAGCAAGCCATCATGATTCCCCTCACCGGAAGGCTGGTACCCGGGGCTGCGTCAACTCCCTGAAGTAACCCTTGTCTTCCCCACGTCGTCCATCTCCCGGTGACTTCCCTGGAATGCACTACCCTAGTTTGGAGACCCCTGCCCTGTCACTTCACACAGCTCTTGTTCTTTGTCTATGAGGTATAAACGCACCACCACTTGGGACTTCTCGCCCTGTGCACACCCCTAGGTACATGGAGCGTGAAGAAAAGCCGTGTGATTTCTCCTGTCCACCTGCCTTGTGTTAATCTGGTTACCAGACTCAGCGTCAAGAGCTGCTGCAGCCGAGGGGGGTGAAGGGGGGTACCAGCCCTCTGGGCCCTGATCTTTCCCAAGCGGTTCCACAGTCTGAACGGTGGCGTGGTGGTGGCAGTGGCGGTGGCGCACTGCTCTAAAGGGGTGGGCACGCTGCGCTCTCCGCGCTCTCCACGCTCTCCCCGTGCTGGGCCCTGGCTCCATGTTGGACAAGGCAGCCACTTCCCAGCGTCTGGGTATCCTCTGTTACGGCTAAGTCTCCAGTGCATGTCAGGCTGTGGCAGCCTCCTTGAAAAGAAACTTCTAGATGAGAGGACAAGGGCAATGTGTGGCTTCTGAAATGCATCTCCAAACCACATGAGGAAGTGTTCGCTGAGGAGATACTCAGGGGAGCAATGAATCACATGAGGAAGTGTGACTGCCATCACCGGTGGGGGACAGGCAGACCCTGGGGTCCCTGCCAGTGAAGCCCGATGATCTGGGAGTCCTTGCCTCTCACCCACTACCACGGCACACCCCTGAGGGCTGCCATTAGGTCTCAGACACTCTCTTCCCAGAATTCACGGTCCCTGGTCCTCAGCTTTACTAGCAGGGCTTGTTTTCAAGTTTTACTTTGTGATTTTTTTTGAGAGGTTTTCGAGGTAGGGCGTGTGTGCTCACCAGACAGAGAGACATAGAGACAGAAAGCGAGAAATCACCCCCCAGGGGGGATGGTCACGCTGCAATCCCTTCTCCTCCATTCTCCTCTCGGGATCTTGGGCACGCACGCACACGCGCCCGGCGTGAGTTTTAAGCGACCAGGTCCAGGAGGTGAACCTTGGTTGACTACGTGGGAGTCCAGTGACATAGCCATTACGCTAACTGCTGGTTCCCAGTGATTTTGAAGGCTTTGACTTGGGTGAGCATTTTGTTGGCTGAAAAACTGTGGTGCTTCCCTAAATTTGTAAAGCCAAATGTTTGTACGGACAGGGACTAAGACAGCTGCGGGACCAGCAGGTGCATGGTTGTTAAGGTGCTGGACACTCCCACATGGCCGGACACGGTTTGAGTCTCGGACCTGGTGGCTTGCTTTCCCACTTCCTCTCTCCCTCCCTCCCTCCCTCCCTCCCTCCCTCTCTCTCTCTGCCTCTGTCTCTCTTTGGTCAAAAAAAAAAAAAAAAAAAAAAAAAAAAGCCGAGGGCGCGAAGGGTTTTCAGA